GACCATGGAATCCAGGCTGGGTAAGGAAAGAAGGGTGGAGGTGATGAGGTTAGGGGACAGTGGAAAGGAGGTTTGATCAGTGGATGAGGCACAGTGCCTAAGGCCCATAATAATTGTAGGGGCCCACAAAATGCTTTCATTTTCATTACTTTATTCTATTTTTTAAAAAATATATCTTAGTTGTCAATGGACCTTTATTATTTTTTTATTTATATGCAGTGCTGAGAATTGAACCGTGTCTCACATATGCTAGGCAAGCGCTCTACCACTGAGACACCACCCCAGCCAGCCCCTATTCTATTTTTATTTGTTATTCATTCATGATGCTGGGGATTGAATCCGGGGTGCTCTAACACTTAATACATCCGCAGCCCTTTTATTTATTTTTTCTTGAAACAGGGTCACGCTAAGTTGCTAAGACTGGCCTAGAACTTGTAATCCTGCCTCAGCCTCCTAAATTGCTAGGCTTACAGGCATGTGCTCCTGTGCCCAGATCTTCTGATTTTAAAATAAGTGAAAATGGCTGGGGGCCAGGGTTGTGGCTCAGTGGTAGAGCACTTGCCTAGCATGCGTGTGGTACTGGGTTCGATCCTGAGCACCACATAAAAATAAAAACAAAGGGAATGAAGGTATTGTGTCCATCTACAACTAAATAAAATAAAATTTTAAAAAAGAAAAAAAAATGGTTGGGTGTAGTGGCACATGCCTGTAAGCCCAGGGACTCAGGAGGCTGAGCAGGAGAATCACAATTTCAAGGTTAGTCTCAGCAATTTAGCGAGACCCTGCCTCAAGAGAAAATAAATAGCTGGGGGTGTAGCTAAGAGGTAGAGTGGCCCTGGGTTCAATTCCTGGTACTGAAAAAAAAAATCATAAGAACAAAATTAATAAAATAAAATAAACAAGCAATAAATTCACACTAGATAATATTAATCCAATACAGTCATACAATACAATGTTTTTAAAAGGTAGTGTTGGGGATTGAACTCAAGGCCTTGTGCATGCTAGGCAAGCACTCTACTACTGAGTACGTCCCCAGCTCCCATACAATATAATTTTAAATATTCTTTTTTTTTTAATATTTATTTTTTAGTTATCGGCGGACACAACATCTTTGTTTGTATGTGGTGCTGAGGATCGAACCCGGGCCGCACGCATGCCAGGCGAGCGCGCTACCGCTTGAGCCACATCCCCAGCCCTTTAAATATTCTTTTATGGAGGAAGGGACCCAGGAAGGAAAAATATTTGGGGCTCATAAAAGTCACAGTGAAGCCCTTATGAGAGATCTCAGGTGGGTAGTAGAATTGTTTGAGCCAAGGCAGTAGACAGCCAGAAAGACAGGAGTTAGTAATGGGAAAGTGTGATACTTAAAACTGAGATTTATGGGGTGTGTAAAAGCTACTGGTAGCAACAAGATCTAGGGTGAGGCTTCTTGGAAAAAAAGAAATAATGAAATATAAAGTAGTTTTTTTCAGGTATCTGCTGCTATATTAACCACACCAAAATTTAGTGGCTTATATTTATAGTTGTATATCATTTATCTGCTTATTCAGCAATGAGTGCTGTGCTGGGCTTTGCTGAGCAGTTCTGTTGGACTTGCCTAGGTTCATTCATGTATCTACAGTCATCTGGAAGCTTGACTGGGTGAGATAACCCAATATGACCTAACTTGTCCAGTGGTCACTGGCCAAGGTACCTTGATTCTCCTCATCTTCCTGTAGGCCAGACTGAACTTCTTTACATGATGTTGTAAGTATTTTGAGAAAGCAAGGGAATAATTTCAATGTCTCTTGAGACTTTGACTCTAGGAACTCACACTGTCATTTTTTGCTACATTCTATTAGTCAAAAACAAGTGGTAAGTTCAGCCCAGGTGAAAGATGTTGAAATAGACATCACCTCTTGCTCAGAGAAGCAGCAAAATCATTGCAAAGGATCATATGGGAGAAGAGCTAGTAAGGCCATCTTTGCAAACATTTATCTCACTTATTGTAAAAATTATCTATTTCATACTGAATCATCAAGAAGCCAGGCATGGTGGTACTTGCCTGTAATCTCAGAGACTTAGAAGGTGGAGGCAGAAGAATTGCAAATTTGAGGCCAACCTCAGCAACCTAGCAAGACCCTGTCTCAAAGTAAAGAAAATGAAATAGGATTGGGGGTGTGGTTCAGAGGTAAAGTGTTCATGGGTTCAATTCTCCAATACAAAAAAAAAAAAAAGAATCTGACATAAGTGGGAGTGAGCAGAATGACAATAAGACAGGTGCTAAAATCTTCAAAGCATGAGGGGGAAGTAAGTGGTATCATCTGATGCCATCAATATTAAAAGCTTCAAATGTCTTTGTAATTTTTATCAGTGAATTTTAATACATTTAATCAATGAAAAGGAATTATTCATTTTTCACAACTTCTTTGACTCAATCACTTGTCAGTTCAGATTCTAAAACAGTGACATAACTATATGCATGAAAATTTGAGGCACACCTGTTTATCTAGAAGCAGTATTTATAGTGCTTAAGATGATATCTGGCACCTGGAAGTAGCACATAGCTAGATGTTCAATATATATTGGTTGAATGAATTAATGACATAAACACAATCTATGTGGCCAATAATCAGGATTAGGTTGAATAAATTATAGTATATATCTTCAATGGAATATCCCACAGTCATTGAAAATCATGCTTTCAAGGACTATCAATATATTGCATGGAATTTAAAAATCAGGATATAACATTGTAGATGTGATATGATTATACCTGTGTTTACATATCTGGATAGGAAAAGGGGCCAAACCAATAATAGAGTGGTTTTATCAAGCTAGTAGAATTATGAGTGATTTTTCCTTTATTTTTTTTTTAAAGAGAGAGAGAGAGAGAGAGAGAGAGAGAGAGAGAGAATTTCAATATTTATTTGTTAGTTTTCAGAGGACACAACATCTTTGTTTGTATGTGGTGCTGAGGATCGAACCCGGGCCGCACGCATGCCAGGCGAGCGCGGCTACGGCTTGAGCCACATCCCCAGCCCCCTTTCCTTTATTTTTTAAAAAGCTGATGGGTGGGCTGGGGATGTGGCTCAAGAGGTAGCACGCTCGCCTGGCATGCGTGCGGCCCGGGTTCCATTCTCAGCACCACATACAAAGACGTGTCCGCGGAAAACTAAAAAAATAAATTAATTAATAAAAAAAGCTGGATGGGGGGGCATGGTGGTATATACTTGTAATTCCATCAATTTGGGAGGCTGAGGCAGGAGGAATGGAAATTCTAGGCCAGCCTCAGCAATTTAGTGAGACCTTAAGCAACTGAGCAAGACTATCAAAATAATAAGTAAAAAGGACTAGGGATGTAGCTCAGTGGTAAAGCACTCTTGGGTTCAATTCCCAGTACCAAAAAAAAAAAAAAAAAAAATGGGGCTGGGGATGTAGCTCAGGTAAAGCAATTGCCTAGTATGCCTGAGGCTCTGCACTCAATCTCCAGCACCACAAAGGGAAAAAAGAGTTATACAAGTTCATTTTGGAAAAAGTGAAAATATTGAAAAGAATAAGAAAAAAAAAAAACCCTTATAATTCTACCATCCAGAGAACACTATTGCCACTATTGAAGCAGGTTCCGCTTTGTTTTTTGTTTTCCCCACTCCACTTAACATTTTCTTAGCTTTTTGACCATCTTTAGACTTCAAAAAGGTGACTTTTAACCATCACATAGTGTTGAAATACCATAATCTATTTTGCCTATAGTAAATTTTGATATTATGGTTTGTAATTTTTTGCTGAACAATATCTTAGAACAAAATAAATGATAGAGCCATGATAGAGTTTATTCAAACTCATAAAGTTCTTCATGTAAGAGGGGATCAAAGTGGACAGTAAACTTGCTAGAGAGCTGGGGAGAGCGTGGATGTTACATCCAGTGAAGACTGTTCAGTAAAAATGAACACAGGTGCTCTGCCCCTGTCCGGGCGTTTATGGAAAGCTGTTCTGTAAGGCTAGAGACTCTCCAATGTTTTGAATTTAAAAATGGCAAAATTTCCATCAGAAGGAATGGGCCTTAGCCTTCCTGACCTCCTGCACTCTTGCCCTGGGCAAACAAGAAACTATGTTTCAGGTCCCCGCCTTGTTCAGGTGTCTAAGCCTTTAGTAGGGACAGGTAAAAAGCCTGGAAGGGCAGTTCTCCCCAACCTTTCCCTAGAAAACTCTTAAAGTGAACTCCTGGTTGGGGCAATACTAATCTGAGGATAAGAACAGTTGTGATGGGGTCCAGAGGCTAGAAGTGTGTGTGTAGGGGTAACACTGACAAAATCGGGGCATTCCCAGTTCAGGGAGACTTCCTAGAGGTGGTTACGGGAAGGAATGGGGTGGAAAGATTGAGACTGATGGGGAAAAGGAGGGGTGGACCGGGCTGATATTTAGATAGGCATGTGTTAATCCTGGAAGGCTGTAGATGATAATGAGGAGAGAAAGCGGGGGGGGGGGGGGGCGAGGAGGAAAGGAGCTGACGGAAGAAGCCTGCGAGGAAGATTCTACAAGCGGGATGGAAAAGAGGGCAGCGCAGGCTGGCGACAGTAGGAGGGCGGGGAGCAAGTGCGCCCCGATTGTGCACGGGATATATATGAAAGCGTGATGGGCAGCCGACTGGTGAGAGCGGAGGTAGGGTATGGGGTGAGGGGCACGAGTCAGGAAGCGGGGATGGGAGATGGGATAATAGCAGGGACACGCACCATTGGCCGGCAACTCACAGTGTGTGCCCATTTAGACTCCCAAGATTTCCGTATTTCCTTGCTTGAAGGAAGGTTCGGGGAGGTTAGGTGGGCGCGGAGGGCGGGGGCTCGGGGGGCACGGAATGGTGCTGGCGCGCGAGTGAGGTGTGGCCGTGCGTGGCCGGGGGTGGGCGCTGGACGCGGGAGGGCGGGGGGCGGGCCGGCAGCGGCCCGAGCTGGGAGAGGCGGGCTCCGCCGGCACACGCCGCCTCTGGCAGGGGGCCGAACACGCGCGAGGAGCCGCCGCCGCCGCCGCCGCTCGGGGTCGCCTCTAGCCCCAGATTCCCGAGCGCTCGGCTGGCATGGCAGAGGCCTCGGCGCCCGGCCCCGCGGCCAGCTAGGGGCGGCCTCGCGTCCCTGCCCAGCCCCTCAGCGGAGCCCGTCGGATCCGGCCTCGCTCTGCTGCCCGGGACACGCCGCCTCCCAGCCGGAGGTGAGGACAGGGGCGCGCAGGGCTAGGCGCTGTGGGGATTCCAGGCCCTGAGCAGTCGCCAAGCCGAGCGCGCTGAGATAGGAAGGGAACGTGGGAGCCAGTCCTAGAGGGTGGGTGTCGTAGGTGCGGGTAAGGGACTACTCGCTGCCGGGAACCAGGAACAGTCCCTCCTTCTGGCCCCCGCGTTCCCTCAGTGCTCGAGGACGCTTCTCGGTGCTGTCCCTATCCCCGCAAACCCCTCGGTCCCGACCGCGATCCCCATCAGCCCCAGCGATTCCCGCGCCGTGGCCTCGCTTGGCGCTGCCCATCCTTCCTGCAGACCCTTCTCCCGAGTTTCTAGCTCCAGTCGCCTCTCCTGCTCGACCCTTCCCGGTTCCAGGTTCCCGCTACCGGCATCCACTTCTTCTGTCCCGGTGCCCTGCTCCCTCGTCGGCTTTTGTCAATTGGAGCCCATATCCTTGCCGCTATCTCCGCGTCCAGCCGCCTCCCAGCCAGTGCCGTCCCACAGGTGTCTACACATCTGGCCGTCCATCCGTCGGTCCCTCCTGGGGCGGACGCTGACCATGCCCAGCGGTTGCCGCTGCCTACATCTCGTGTGCCTGTTGTGCATCCTGGGGGCATCGGGTCAGCCTGTCAGAGGTGAGAGAGCCACGGGGTTCCAGTCGCCTCCCTGTCAGGCAGTCCTAGCTTGCGCGTTGACCTCTGCTGGCCAGAGACGGCACTGCAGCCACTCTGACCAGCGGACCTGATGAGACTTGGGTCCTCCCTTTAAAGTGGGATGGGTCTGCTTGCCTGGGCCAGACCTGAGTCCACCCAATTACTAGAACCATGAATCCTTTCCCGAGTTCACATTCCAGGAACCTGAACCCGGACTCACCCCCTTCCAAATCAATCTCTTCCAGCGGATGACTGCAGCTCCCACTGTGACCTGGCCCACGGCTGCTGTGCACCTGATGGCTCCTGCAGGTACCTATCCCCAGCACTGCCCCAAACCCTTTGCTCTCCATTTCCCAGACCTTCACACCCACAATCAGGTCAGGCCTCAAGTCAGAGTGCCCAGGGGCTTAAGACCCTACAGTTCACCCTATCACTTCTTATGACATATAAGGCAGACTGGCCAACTTCCTTCCCACCCCACCATTGCCATTGGCCTCACCTCTCTTGCTTTTTCTAGTTTATCTTTCCCAACTCTGACCCAGAAATTCTGAAACACTGCTCTTCAAGACATCTGGAAGGAGACCTGAAGCTTGAGAGCTTGGAAATTGAGAGCTACAAGGAAAAGGGAAGATAAAGAGAGAGGTAGTTTAGGAAAGAGGGGCAGTAACTGGGGAGCAGAACTTGTGATGTATGAGGCTCTTTCTAGATGACTTGAAGCAACTGTTTCACTGAGGTGGAGGGTGAGTCAAATTCCGTAGCAGGGAGAAAGTGGACATAAGAAATGAGCTGAGGCAGGTTGCTCAATGGACTGGGAATGTTTGAGACTACATCTTTGGGAGGGCTTTAAAAAATAGTTGTTTGCCTTGGAATTCAGTGGGAAGACGGCCCTGATGACCTTTCAAGGTCAGTCTTTGCTTAATTGGTTGTAAACACATTAGACATGCCAGGAGTGGTACTGGAGGCATTTATGGAAAGGATCTTATTTCTTCCTCAACACAAGCCTATAAGGTGTATCTTCAATTCTTGGTGAGGACACTAAGGTTCAGAAAGGCTAGACAAAGCACAGAACCAGGACTAGAGCACTGGTTTTGGATACTCAGTTTCTGTATGTGTCCCATGATCCTGCACAGACCTATACCTACCTGAGACAGTTCTGTGTTCCCACAGGGGATGTCATGTGTCCTTCTGGTTTCAAGAAGCTCTGGTTCTGCATCCTCCCAGAACCCTTACCTTGTGCTTCTTCCTCTCAGGTGTGACCCAGGCTGGGAGGGGCTGCATTGTGAACGCTGTGTGAGAATGCCTGGCTGTCAGCATGGTACCTGCCACCAGCCCTGGCAATGCATCTGCCACAGTGGCTGGGCAGGCAAGTTCTGCGACAAAGGTAGGGGGAGGGAAGCTCTTGGTTGGGGAGTTCTTGTGTCTTAGAACATTCATCAGTCTTTATTCATTAAGCAACTATTGTGTTCTGCTTTTAAATCCTCAAATACATGGTATTTTATCCTTTTTGATTTTCTACCTACCTGTTGTAAGAATTTACCCTCAGCATAACCCCATGAGGTTGGAAAGGTTGCTACTAAAAATGGTACTTATTTTACACATGAGGAAACTAAGGTTCACAGAAAAGCTATAGCTTGCCCAGTCAGTTTGAGACAGACTGCCAGAACAAGAGACAGGTGCCTCCTGACTCCGACATCAGTGTGGTTTCCCTCAGTACACCATCTCAGCCTACGGTGTACACACACAGACTTGGGTCCAAAAGGGCTAGCCATGTAGGCCTGGGCAGGTCTGATAACCAGATATGAGGGGTGATCAAAAGCCTTCTGTCTCTTCTCCAGATGAGCACATCTGCACCTCCCAGTCCCCCTGCCGGAATGGAGGCCAGTGTGTGTATGATGGGGGTGGCGAGTACCACTGCGTGTGCCTACCAGGATTCCATGGGCATGACTGTGAGCGCAAGACTGGACCCTGTGAGCAGGCAGGGTGAGTGCTGGGCTTGTGGCAAGGTTACACTAGAATCTGGTGACAGGATGAAAAAGGCAGGACTACAAAGAGCCAGGAGGACTGAGGGTCAGACCCACAGGACCACAATAAAACCCCTGGCTCAGGATTTGTTGTTCAACTTTTTTTGTATCTTCTGAGCCATTTCTTCAATAAGCTATAGGAGCTGGAGGTGTAACAGATAATGTATGACGGCTCTGGTTGGAAGGGTGGGTAAGAGGAGAATGAGGGAACAGAAACTGGCATGCAGCTCTTAAAGATATCCCACACAGCAGCCTTATACCTCTTTGTATGGATGATGAAACAGCCCCACAGGGATGGACTTGTCCTTGTTTCAGCTTTAGGATAAGAGCTTGGGGGGATAATAATAGCACATTTACCCTCAGGCCTGCCTTTGGGCCAGACCCTGTGCTAAATGCTTGACATCTGATTCTCTCATTTAACCCTCACATTGTGAAGCTAAGTACTATTTTTATTCTCATTTTTAAAATGAGATATTTGAGACCCAGAGAGAGTAGACCAAGGTGACACAGCTAGGAAGGGGGGGGGGCGGTGGTCAGGATGCTGACCAAGGCCATCTTGCAGGTGTTAGAAGTTGGTATCAATATCCTTTCCCATCCCCACTGCAGCTCCCCATGTCGGAACGGCGGGCAATGCCAGGACGACCAGGGCTTTGCCCTCAACTTCACGTGCCGCTGCTTGGCAGGCTTTGTGGGTGCCCACTGTGAGGTGAATGTCGACGACTGCCTGATGCGGCCTTGTGCTAATGGTGCCACCTGCCTTGATGGCATAAACCGCTTTTCCTGCCTCTGCCCTGAGGGCTTTGCTGGACGCTTCTGCACCATCAACCTGGATGACTGTGCCAGCCGCCCGTGCCAGAGAGGGGCTCGATGTCGAGACCGGGTCCATGACTTTGACTGCCTGTGCCCCAGTGGTTATGGTGGCAAGACTTGTGAGCTTGTCTTACCTGTCCCAGACCCTGCCACCACGGTGGGCACTCCCCTAGGGCCCACCTCGGCTGTGGTGGTACCTGCTACAGGGCCAGTCCCCCACAGTGTGGGGGCAGGTCTTCTGAGGATCTCTGTGAAGGAGGTGGTGCGGAGACAAGAAGCTGGGCTAGGTGAGTCTAGCTTGGTGGCCCTGGTGGTGTTTGGGGCCCTCACTGCCGCCCTGGTCCTGTCCACTGTATTGTTGACCCTGAGGGCTTGGCGCCGGGGCATCTGTCCCCCAGGACCCTGTTGCTATCCTGCCCCACATTATGCCCCAGCACGTCAGGACCAGGAATGTCAGGTTAGCATGCTGCCAGCAGGGCTCCCCCTGCCACCCGACCTGCCCCTTGAGCCTGGAAAGACCACAGCACTGTGATGGAGGTGGGAGCTTTCTGGCCCCCTTCCTTACCTCCTCCACACCTCAGCCTGGAGTGGTCCTTCCTTGCTACCCCTCAGTTTGGGTATACATACTGAGGGGAGACTTCAGCCTTGTACCAGAAATATTATTTTTTTAATATACAGAATGTAAGACAGGAATTTTATCAAATAAAACTATGAAAATGCACGTGGGCTCCTATGCCAGAAAAACCCACCTCAAGTCACAGGTGCAAGAGGGCCAGAGCAGAGGCCTGATTCTGGGGAAGCCTCAGCACTCTGCCCTCAGGGAGGGATTTCCAACAAGGAACCCAGGTTGCCATTTCTCCTCTGGGGAAGTAAGGGAGGTAGAGCCACAGAGGGAGAAGAAGCAAGCCCTTCCGGGTCACCTGGAGGAGAGAACTCTGGAGGGTACGGTGTGGGGCTCAGGGTCCTCCAAGAGAGGAGGGGCCTCCCTGCTGGCTACTCTGCAGCAGCTGTTGGAACAGTGAGTGGGGCTGGTTACACAGGGCAGAGGGGGAGTCCATCTCCATGACCCTCCCTGCTTGTAGCACCAGCACCCGGTCGGAGTTCAGGATTGTGTTGAGCCTGTGTGGGAGAAGGTGTTCAGTGTAGAGAGCAGAGGACAATGCCCTAAAGGAAAAAACTGATGAGCTGTCTGTCCCTACCCCTCAGGACTTCAGAGATCTGTCCCCACAGGCATTAGTCCCTGGCTCCATGCTGAGGAAGGACTGCAAAGGTCCCTCAAATAATGTGCTACTAAGGGCCCAGAATAGTGTGTGGAAAAAGAGGAGCCAAGACCTATGGGCCCAGATTCTTGGGTTCCTGAAAATACTGAGGGCAGGCTGTGGGTCCATGTCACCATGGCCCTTGATTAGTCTTATTCTGGATACTTGCACACCTGTGAGCAATGGTCAGCACTGTTTTGTTGGCAAAGCGTTTGCAGATGGTCTGCTGGAGCAGCTGGTCTGTCTTCTGGTCCACGCTTGCTGTGGCCTCATCAATGCATAGAACCTGAAATGTATGTTGAGGAAAGGGAGGGAGGAAGGGAGGCATAGGGAGCTATAATCCAGTGCACACCTATAGCGCCTGCAGCCAGCTCTGCCTTGCAACTTCTCTCCAACCCCCTCTTCACCCTGACACATCCCCTGTCTCCTTTCTGATCCTCTCACCTTACCTTGGCATCTGTGAGGAGAGCCCTGGCCAGACACAGCAGCTGCCTCTGTCCTAGGGACAAGCTCCGGCCCCCCTCGCCCAGCTCGCCATGCAGACCACCTGTAAGATGGAGCATTTTCATTGTGGGCCAAACCTCTCCCTGCTCCTTCCCTGCTGCCAGAGTCAGGACCCAGCACTCACCCATGGAGATGATCACCTCACTCAGATGGCACTGTTCTAGGGCCTGCCACAAGGCCCTGTCCTCATATAGGCCCTGGGGATCCAGGTTTTCCCGAACAGTCCCACTGAACAAAAAGGGCTCCTGGGGGATGATAGCTAGCTGTGACCTGGGGGACAAGGACAAGAGATTCAGGCTGGAGATGTGGCCACTTCTGCCGGCAGCACAGGTTTTAACTATGGAGCTTGTTCTTCCAGAAAAGCCTGGGAATGAGACCTGCACACCACCCACTCTGCTTCCCACCCCATCTCCACTAACTGGCCAATCAGTTAGCTATGCACATAGAACTGTGCTGGCACTATGAGTAACACCAAAGAAACCAAAGGCCTGGACTCAGGCCTTAAACAGCCTACATTTCACCGAGGTACAAAAAAATAAGAAAAAACAAAGGCTAAATTGTGTGGCACAGACTCCAGGGACAGCAGTAGCTATGCAGGGAATGACCACAGTAGCTAAATGGGGAGGGGCCCTTCTGGGTGGAGAGGCCTGGAGTTGGATCTTGAGCCAAAACTCAGAAGACAGAAGAGGCAGGGCCAGGGTCATGTGTACAGCCTTAGCATACAGCTTGCCTACCTTTTCCACATCATGGAACTGAAAGAAAATACTAGGTTAACCTAGGGCCAGGGCTGAGGGCTCTGTGGAACAGAGGAGGCCACTTGCGGCATAGGTGGTGTCCAGTTATCCCAAGAACTGTCTACTGAGCTGGAGAGTCGAGGGATATCAGGATCCCCTGGGAAGCTCTGATATAGAAGGTAGTGACTAGTGTCTAAAGTGGAGACAAGAAAGATGGAGCTGGAAATGTAGCCTGGGTCAGGGTGAGGAAGACCCCAAGGCTGCTGGCCAACTCTGCACCTGAGGAGGAGCTTGCTGGCTTCACTTGCTAATCTTCTCCACCTATTCCGATTGACCCTGGCTGTCCTGAGAGTATAGAAACCTTCTAGCTATGCCCTCCTCTAGGTGCCAGGAGTCTGGTTGCCCTCTTCCCTTTTTACCAACCTCCTTCCCCCCAGACCTGAGTTCAGCCAGCTCTAGCTGGCTGGTGTCCATGCCGTCCAGCAGCACTCTCCCCATACTGGGCTCCAGCAGCCGGAACAGCACCAAAAACAGGGAAGACTTGCCAGAGCCCGTTCGGCCTACAATGCCCAACTTCTCTCCAGGTTGCACACGGAAGGTCACCCCATCCAGGGCATTTGGCAGCCCTGGCCGGTACACCAACACCACATCCTGGAACTCCACACTTCCCTGGGTCAGCCAGCTGATGCCCTGCACAAGGGAGGGGGCTCATGAATAGGAGATGGAGGGAAATGGGTGAGATGAAGAGTGACAGTGAGGAGGGGGTTGGAAGGTATACAGAGGGGAGAATAATAAGAAATGGGTGGTCTGAGAAGAAAGATGGGGGAATGGGGAAAGATGGGAGGCTGAATGCAGGAATGAGGGACAAAGTACATGGAGATCATGCAGAGAAGCAAGGGAGCTGAGCAAAAGCAAAGGAGCCTGAGGGAAGGCTGAGGCCTTCAGGAGACCCTGCAGGGATCTGGAGCTCTGGCCTGGGGTGGTGGGGTACCAGCCTACCTGCAGTGGCCGGCCCTGAGGCTCCTGAGGCAGTTCACAGGAGTACTCCTCCAAGCGCTCGACGCTCACTAGCATGGCTTCTGTCTGTGTGAAGCTGCTCACCAGGCCTGAGAGCAGGCCGGTCAGGGACAGGGCATAAGACAGCGACAGGCCCACCAGCCCTGGGGAGAAGAGCACCAGCTGCTGGGGAGGCCTGGACACTGGGACATGTGTGGGAAGTGGGGGGCAGAACAGGAGAATCCCAGCTGTGGATTATGGGTGGTTAAAGGAAGTTGGTAGAGAAGCAGGCAGATGATAAGACCTAGTCAGAAGCATAGGAGGCTATATGCACAGGAGCAGAGTGGTGTAGAGAAGACATAACGGGACTGGGGATAGAGCTCAGCTGGTAGAGTGCGTGCCTTGTGTGCACAAGGACCTGGGTTCAATCCCCAGCATCACAGGGGAAAAAAAAGAGAGAGAGAGAAGCCCTGAGGGGTAACAGGTGGAAGGGGGCAGGATGATATGACTTAGGGGTGGGTACAGGGAAGGGATTCAGATCAGAAGACTCATTCTAGTATAGATCCTACACCACCAGAGCAAGTCACTCCTGGAGACAGTTCCCTCAGCTCTCAAGTGGCAGTGATAATGATGAGACAACCTCACAGGGAACCCCAAATGGGAGGGGGATTTGGTGGGGGGAATAGTGCAGGGTGCTGGAGTGACTTGCTACTGGGGTAAGGATGAAGGGTTGGGTGGTACCTGGGTTAGCAAGGCCTTGCTGGTGCTGCACCAGGGCGATGCCTGCAATGGCACTGACCACTGCCGCCCCCATGAGCTGTAGCCGAATGTCCAGCCACTGTGTTGTGGCACAGGAAGAAAACTGGCATCTCTGGTTTAGCTCTAGGAGTTGCTGGTTTTTCTCCTCAAACCTGGGGGAGACCAGGAGGGAAGTGAGGCCACTCCACTACTATGCTGATCCACCCAGGCTCCTTTACATTTCACCTTCTTCTGAGCCATTTATACACCATAGGCCTCACCTACGGAGGCAGAGAGGCCCATGTGTTCTTTTGAAGGGGACTTGCTCTGCCTCACTTTCTCTTTCTGCTGTTTTCCTCCTTTACCTTAGTACCCTCTCTCCCAGAAGGTCTGGATCCCCCTACCCCACATGCCTCTCTTATCAGGGGTCTATTCACTCCTCCCCACAGCACACCTTGCCCCCTGAGCTGTGGTTGGGAAATGCAGCTGTCACACACCTGTAGGTGGCCCCAGCTGCCCGGAGCACAGGGAGGCCAGCTAAGGTGTCAGCCAGGTGGGTATACAATGGAGACAGGGTGAGGCTGCCCAGGCGCCGAAGCTCTCGTGCCGAGGCCCTGTAGCAGTACTGCACACGGTAGTACATGATGCCCAAAGGTGGCAGCAGCAGCAGCAACCAGGGCAGGCCAAAGCCCAGCACAGCCAGGAGGCCCAGCAGTCCAGCTGCATTGGCCAGTAGGATGTTGAGAAGGAAGGGCAAGCTGTCATCTGCACAGGCCACATCAGAGGAGAATCGGTTTAGGATCCGGCCAGTGGGCGTGGAGTCAAAGAAAGTCACTGGTGCCTGGAAGAGATGGGGTTGGGGAAGAGCAGGGTCTGGAGAAAAAGAGTTGGTAGGCAGCCCTGGGAGAGGTGGGGTGTTAAATACAAAAGGAGCCTGGGGACAGAGGAGATACAGGTGGAGTTTGGAGGAAGACCATCCAGGGTAGGAAACACTCCCTAATTCCTCTGGCCAGTGGCAACCTTATGAGGCCATGTTGGCCATTCCTCCTACTCTAAGCCGGACATATCTACTACCCTTTCAAGATTAGGGAGCTAATATTTATCCAGAAGATAGGGGCTTTGGGCCAGTGAATGGGATCTAGTTAGATGTCAGGAGGAACATCTTGATTGCCCATGACTGGACAGAGTGGTAAGTATTATCACTCAAAGTCACAGTTAAGACCTCAGGCTCTGGAGTCAGGCTGCAACTCAAACTCCAGCTCTGCCACTTAGAAGACACGAGACTCCATGCAAGGGACACATTTATCTCTCAAAGGATCAACTCTTAGTTACTAAAAGTTAAGTGTTATTTTTCTAAATTTTGTGATATTCATGGTATTTATCCATTTTTAAACATTTGTAATTTGCTATGCTTTTTTCATTCCAAATAAATTTTCATGTTTGTTAAAAAAAAAAGAACTAGCCTTGGCCAGGTCAACTCCCAGTTTCCTCATCTATGAAATGGGGATATTGTAAGGTCCTAATAATGATAAGAAAAGACCGTCATAACAGCAACTTTAATAATAACTGCTAAATGAGCACTTATTTCTGCCAGGCAATATCCTAAGCACTTTCCATAAGCTAATTAGTGTAATCCAATACAAGTAAGCAGTAGAATAGATATACACTTAGCAACAGAGATGGATCTTAGAAACAGCCCTAAATAAAAATCGTAAGAAAGAGCTGGGTGCTGTGGCACATGCCTATAATCCCAGAGGCTCTGGAGGTGGAGGCAGGAAGATTGCAAGTCCAAAGCCAGCCTCAGCGATAACAAGGTACTAAGCAAAGCAACTCAGTGAGACCCTATCTCTAAGTAAAATTCAAAATAGGGCTGGGGATGTGGTTCAGTAGTC